GTCGACGTTCTGGAGATCATCTCAGGCGAGTCTCTTGCAGGGCCATCTTTTTCAGGGCCATCGCAGGCGAGTCTCTTGCAAGGGCATCTTTTTCAGGGCCATCGCAGGCGAGTCTCTTGCAAGGGCATCTTTTTCAGGGCCATGGCAGGGGAATCAATTGCCAGGTTGCATGAAGCTTTCCCCGATTGCTATTGTGGTATTCCTGACTCAGGAGAACCTTGTCCTTTCAAAATCCAACACACATCGCTTCTTTCTCTCTCTCCTCTTCCAACCGCTGATCATCCCACAATACTTAATTCTTTCTCACAGTATTTAAACCTTTCTCATAATATCTCATCATCCTTCTCGGCATTCAGTCCTCTGTCACAACTAGATATCAGGACGAAATCCATTCATGCGAAAGGAATCGCACAGATGCATATTAGCTTTATGAATTGGCAATTATTGCTCTGCAACTGGGCTTGTGTTTCAGGTGAAAGAGTCGACGTGGTGTTGGAAGCGAATCAACCGGTGGATAACTACTGGATTCAGGTTCATGGACTTGTTGAATGCAGGCAAGTCTCTGTCTGTCTGTCTCTCTCTCTCTCTCTCTGTCTTCTTCTCTCTCTCTCTCTCTCTCTGTCTTCTTCTCTCTCTCTCTCTCTCTCTCTCTCTGTCTTCTCTTTTGTCTTCCTTCTTCCTCTTCTCGCACTTCTTCGTCCCCTCATATTGCCACACCAAAGTATTTTATTTCGTCTTTTCCTTCTCAACCTCATTCTGAAGTATAATCCCGAAATCCTTACTCAAAAGCACAAAGCAATAATTCTTACCAGATGCCTTTTTTTCCCTCTTCCATCCTCGCAGTACCAAGCAGTGCATGCAGGCGGCAGTGATACGCTACGAAGGCGCTCCCGAAACTGAACCTTCGGGACTCCTGGAATACAACCCTTACCCTCCTGGCACTGTATGTATCTCCTCGTTCAAATTTGCGAATGATTGCATGGGCTGCTTGTAAGAAGGCTTATAATGATACAAGTATAGGTTTTGTCATGTAGCAATGCATCACAATGTCGTGTTGCTTGCACAGTGGGTTTATCTGCCTCTTCATGACGGCCTCACCTCCCGCCAGATTCTAAACCCGTTGTTCCCGATGGCGGTTGAGGAGGCGGTGGACATAGTCGACCTGGACGCCCTCATTCCGTCAGCCATTCCTCAGGAGGTCGACAAGCAGTTCCACATTCTGTTTAGCATGAACGCCGTCAACAATTCCTTTTTCTTCAACCAGGAGCTTTATCCTTTCAATGGCGGTTAGTTCTGGGGATGAAGTAGCCGAAGGGATACGGAAGAGAACGTTATTAGTAGCTGTAATGAGACACTTTTATGTTTCTGCTGAACACACTCTTTATTATTGGAGTTCAGGTCTAACCTCAATTTAATCAAAATATGTATATAATTCAAATATTTATTTCTCTTATTCATTTATTCACTCGTTCATTTATATATGCAGTTTCACCAGAATGGCAGAGGGAGAGTCCACAGGTAAACGACCTTACATTCACGTTCCCTCAAGCCCCGCCCCTTTCTCAGCCTCACAACAGCATTCCGAAACTCTGCCTCTACGGCCAGGTGAGTTCCCGGGGACACTGTCGCTGTTCTCTCTTGTTTTTCTTTTTTTTTATCTATTTTCAAATCGTTGTTGTAAGTGTGAATATTGGTTGATAGTTGGTGACGCTTCATGATACATTTTGATTTGAGGTTAAAATTGCCTCGTTAGAGTTTATAGTCTGTCTTTCTTTTTTTATCTTATTCTACATCATTGAGAAAATATAACACGCACTTTGCATGCTTGCAAAGCAGAACAGGCATTTCATTTCAGTCTTTTCCATAGTTATTTAATGACAGTGTGCATAAATTAAGTATAGCTGTAGTAATAGAACAAGCGAAGGAGACGAGAGAAATAGAGGAGGCTCAGCGCCCATCACAAAGCTCAACCTCCCATCCCATCAGCGTCCGTTCCGTCCGTTTTCCCCCCCAGGACGTGTCCCCGTTCTGCGAGGGAGACTTCTGCCAGTGCACGTACGTCGTGGAGGTGGATCTCGGGGACGCGGTGGAGATGGTGCTCGTGTCCGAAGGGTACCATCCGTTCCACCTCCACGGATACAACTTCCACGTGGTCGCCATGGGAGTGATCGGCCCGTACGCTCAGCCCTTTGATGAGTAGTTGGGGGGAGGGGTGGAGGTTGGTTTGGGGAGGAGAAGGGAGGATAAGGAAGGAGGGAGTGAGGGGAAGCGAGGGGAGGAAGGGAGTGGGGGGAGGAAATGAAAGAGACTTAAAAGAGAAAGAAGGAGAGAAAGAGGAGGGGTGAGAGAGGAAGAGTTATATAAAGTGCGTATATACGAGCGTGTTTGTGGACACGAGTGCGTGTGTACATGCATGCATGCGTTTGTGCGTACAAACATGCATGTCAACATGTGTGAACGCAAAGGACGAATGCGTGCGTGTGCTCAGATCGATCTGCAAACGAGGATTAACTGCCTCCTAACATCCTCTGAGTTATCATCACCCCTTTATCCCCCTCTGCTTCGCCTTTCACCTTTATCGACGTTCCTCTTCCCTTCCTCCTTCAGCGGCACAACTGTCCAGGACGTGATGGACTTGGACGCAGCAGGAGGCATCACCAGGAAGCTGCAGGACGCCCCGCTGAAGGACACGGTCCTGGTGCCCAACGGAGGCTACACTGTCATCCGGTTCACTGCCGACAACCCGGGTACGTGGCATCTCGGGCACGGCGCTCTCGGGTCCAGGAGGCGGGGGGAGTAGGGGAGGGGGGGGAGGATGAGACGAGGGTATGGAGGGAAGGGAAGCGCTTGTGCTGGGATGATGAGGACGATAAAAGGGATTATGTTGATAATCATATGAAAACTAGAAGATAATGACGATGATTATGATTGGAATAATAGTAACGATAACAATAATAATTATAAAAATAATAATCTCGATATGATGATGAGAATGATATTGATAGCTACAACAATAATAATGACAATAACATCAGCAATGACAGTAATGATAACAATAACAAGATTGCAATTGCACATATCCCGACCCCCTTTCCAGGCTGGTGGATCATGCACTGCCACTTCATGTACCACTCGGAGATGGGCATGGCGGCCCTCCTGCACGTGGGCACCGAGGGGGACCTGCCGCCCGTCCCTCAGGGCTTCCCCTCCTGCGGGCCCTTCCTGCCGGAGATCTAGGCTCCTGAGGTGGCGTTCCTGACGAGGCTTTTGGGGCCTGATTTATGTATTATTTCTCTCTGTATATTTCCCTTTGTATAAACGTAAGATTAAGAGGAATTCGTTCAGGCTGCGTCTGTTTTTTTTCTCCACTGTTTTGAGCGATGTAGTTTCTTAATCTTGAAGGGAGGAAGGGGGTGGGGAGCTCCTGGAGGAAAGTATTCCTTTCTCTAAACATATAGTTTATTCACTCTCAACAAGAGCGTGAGCTGAATTTTGAGAAGATTGTGAAAAAAAACGCAAAATTATCGCCGTTACTAAGTTAGTCTTCTTATAATCTACGTAGGCTTAAGATTTCCTGTCTTTATCAACCCTCTCCCTCTCCCTCGAAACTATTAATATGTATGGGGGGAGGGGGGTGTAACACGACCAGGAACGTGTGCATCTCGTCAGCGGATTTTTTTCCTTCCTAGTGAACCACTCCTCTTGTACATTACTTCAGGTGTCGCTGTTGAGCTGTGTTTTTTCCGAAATTGTTATATTGACGTCAGAATATTTTGTAAAGAGAGATAAGTGTCTTGGTGCACTGTGAGCCCGCATGTGTTGCTCTGATATGGTCGAGTTTTGAATTCCGTCGGGGTTTCATCTTTAAAATCTGGGAGGATATTTTTATCCAAGGGTGGAACGGGGGCTTGCAGGGTTAAACGATATCCTCGAGGGGGCGTGGTGATAAAAAGGATAAAAAACAATGTCTAAATATGCTGTGCTTTAAGAGGTCGTATATCAATCACTTCAGCGTCTACGAATATGTGAATAGTATACAGGAAGAAGCAAATGGCTTTTTACAAAAGGCTGCCAATATATGTCTCTTACTATATATTTTTTTATCTGGATATTTTCTGATATCTAAAAACATTTAACACACTCTTATCTGACTTCGAAATCTGTATTGCAGTCTTGATTAAATGGAATGTATATCATCTGTATATTCGTAAGCGAAGTCGAAGAAAATGGAGGCTAATGATCACCTCGAAAAAACTGGGAGTCTGCTGGCTCTTACCACCAGTTAGGCAAATAGTACGAATGCGATGCCGGAGCCTAGACTTCGGCGTCCTTTAGTTACTAATCACAGTGTGGGATATGCATATGAAACTGCACTGTATGTAATGATTTAAGAACATTTAAGCGTTATGATTGTTTTGTTATGATTGTTTAAAAAGTTATAGACAATTTAATCCAAAGTCTCGGCTCTGCCATCGCATTCGCAGCCTTTGCTACTGCCCACCACACTTTCCTCTCTTACTTACTTTCCTCTTACAAAAGCCTAATTGTTTCCCCACTACGTATTGCGATTTAGTTTACTTTGTAATTTCAAGCCGAAGTCACACGGCGTCTGAAGTAACATGATCATTTCCGACACTCAAACCCCCTTCACACTGGCAGCGAGCAGGAGCAGGCGGGCGAGAGCGGGATGGGGCACGTTCGCCGGCGTGTCCTCACTGAATAAACTAAATAAAATAAGTGGAATAAGTAAAACTGAAAAATAAGTGGAATAAGTAAAACTGATGAGTAAGCTCTATCTAAACTTTCTCTGTTGATTTCTTAATGCGGAATCACCCAATAAACACCTAAAATTCGAAGTTCGAGCGAGAAAAATGAACTGTCCTCTTCCCGCGTTGGCCCGCTCTCGGCCGCGCTCGCTCGCTTTCCGCGAACCCGGCCGCAGTCACAATATAATCTAAAATTCTTTGCGGGTCTTTATCGCATTATTGAAAAAAAAGTTT